TATGAGAAGAGAAGTTTAGACGTTCTTTATATTCATTGGAACTAAAATTATGTTGTCTTAGGGTGGCTTATAGAATTAGGCTTTATTCTAGCTATCATTAAGCCTAGTGGGAGTTGTTTTGTAGTGGTTGAAAAGTCTAGCAAGTGTGTGTTTCTTTTTTATATATGTCTGCATCATCTTTTGTAATCGCAATACAAAAAATGCAAAGCTTTGTGACAATCGTTATGTTAATTAGTTTCTAAATCATTATGCTCAAATCATATAAAACAGAGAGAGATGATAATCTAGTTTTTGCAGTGAATTTGTAAAAAAAAATGATTCCACAAGAGAGAAAAAAAATCAAACTAGCTTTAATACTTGGTGTTACGAATGTGATTTTGAAAGAAAACATTAATAAATAAAAACATCATATGGTCTATGAATGATAATAAAGCTTTAAGATGCTCCACCATAACTCTTTCCGGATTCAAAAAATTCTTCATTGTCTTTGGCATCCATAGATGTAGTTTTCATATTAATGCACGTGGAAGACTTGCTAGCAAAAATACTTTTTAATAAATCAGATCTGCACATACAAATTACAAAAACCATAAAAAAAAAATTGGTAAAGCAAAAAAAAAAGTTTGATCCTTATTAAAATACTGGTTATCATCATAATAATTAACTATTTATGAATTCAATTGACTATGTAACCTAGACCAAAAAAGGATACAAAAAGCTAATCTAAGCTAACCTAACAATCTTACTAACACTCATACGCCTTAGAATTGACTTTTTGGCCTAAGATATCCAATTAATAAAATTTTTCAATTCAGAAAACTAATTAGTAATTAGATGCAGAAAACAAGTTACAGATTGTAATTAAAATAAGTTACAGATTATTGGTCGTATGGCGCAGGGGAAGAGGAGCAGATTTCAGCCTTGCAAAAAACAAGTTATCATACGTATCAATGATCGAAAACCTAAAAAAAAAAAAACGGCAACGGTAGTTAACTTAAGTTTTTTTTTAGTTAATGATTTTATTTCTTTAAATTATTTTATCTTCTTAATTTTTT